GGGGTTTTTCTTTCTCGTTACTGGTTCACCGAAGCTAGTCGGAACCTAACTCGTGGTGGAGAAGTTGTTTCCAACTCGTTTTGTCTCAGCTCGTTGCCCCAAAAAAGGTAAACTTCTTTCAATTGTAACTCTTTTTTTAAGTTGATGCTCTTTTTCGTGAATTGAAGGAGTGTGTTGATTCTTCCTCCCTTTCTCGAATGTCTCTGATTGATTCCGGATTTATTTTTTATATCTGATAATAATCGTTGGAGTTCGATTTGGTGTTTCTTGGTTGGTTGAGACATAAAATATGTCCTTTGTATGAATGAAGTCATCTTTGAGCATCCATGGACATTTTGAGTAGATTAAAAGGGTCTTTGGTCTTTAATTATGATTATTATTTTTGATAAATTTCCTTCTCTGTTCTTTACTTTGATAATATAGATGACTCTTCCTTGTAGCCTCTTTCGGTTTTCATCATCTTGGTGGTTGTTACTTTCATGCTTGTTGTAAGTCTATTTCGACATCAAGCTCTATTGTGGTATGTTAATGTTGTTTTCTTTCTAAAATGAGAGCATAACCTCGAATCCAAATAACTCCAATTTGCTCTTGGGTTGTAATGTTGTTTTAGCGTTAGTTCTGCTAGTGGCTTTAAATAATATTTCCAGTAAAGTAGTAGTGTCTTGTTCATTTGTTTTGTGTGATACCATAAACCTTGTTTCCAGTTTCATTAAGTATGATGAAGGAATTAACTCGGTGGAGTTTCAATTAATACAAGTTGTCTATGTGCAAATTGATGTTTAATTTTTGATATGGTAGTTGGTTAGTATTTGTTTGTTGTGGATATTTTTAAGTGTTTAAACAGTAGATTAAATAGTCATTATTTTATCATTAGCATGACCTGAGTATTTAGTGTCTTTAGAATTTGTAGCCCGCTATCTAGATCCATGTTGTTTAAGTTCAATCGAATTATTTGCTTTATATTGGTTTAGGGACCGCTATGATTTGCTTTAGATATATTGTTGCTCTATTCTTCTTGGGTACCTAATCCTTACTATCATTTTGTTGCATGTGGTGCCATCCGAGTCCATTATGGACATTTTTCTTCCTCTTTGCATTTTGATAGAGCCAGAAAGGCTCAAATTCCACCTTTGCTGAGTCGGACATGCCGTATATACCAATGAACAAGTCTCGGAGTTGAAAATATGCAGCATATACACTAATATACAATGTGATACAACTCTCGTATACAGCAGAAATGGGCCCAAAAGGTTTCAAATTTCAGCTTTGTATTTTGTTATTATTGGGCCTAAGCCCCCTTCTTATTTATTATTATCTTGTTAGAGTTTATGACAGGTGGAGTAATTGGGCCTAAGGCCCAAAGGATAAGCATTTCTCTAAAATAGACTAAGACAGGTACAGGTGATTTAAACGGGCCAAAGGCCCAAAACAAAATTAGGCCCAAATACTGGCCAAGGTGGACAGAGAACCAGACTTGGGCCCAAATCTTTCCCTCCTTCTCTATTTATTTGCTATTATGTGATTTATGTGTTTATTTAATTTTAAGGTTCCTCCTTATCAATGCCCCAAAAGGTAATCATGTTGAATTAATTATTTAAAATTAAGTAAATGTTTGTCTACTCGACTTTTTAAAGAAAATCTGTGAAATGTTGTACTTAAATAATATTTTCAATATCCCCCTTTCCCCTCTAAGATCTTTTAAAATTTTAAGTTGTTTATTTCTTAATTAGTTTAAGTATGCACACTTTTATTTTAAATTCAATTAGCCAAATAGTTAGTTACCGGATAACCGCACATTAGTGGGCATTTCGGGTGCTTTCAAACTCTTTTCGAAATGCTAATATGACCCCGAACCCTTTAAATATTTTCAATTGATTTTCGTTTTAATCTTTTGAAAAAAAATAGTTTTCTTAATTTTTCTTTTTTTTATTTGATTCAAATTTATTGTATACATTGATTGTGATAGGATAAATGTAGTATGTATATATTACTTATATTTTGTATGTATACATTATTAGTATACATAATTATATTGTGTAACTAATGATAGATATATTACCTTACTTCAATATATTTTGATACATATAATCAATTTTGTATATATACAGTTATGTATACATAATACTTATTGCATACAAGGGCAGATTCACATGGTACTTTTCGAGTGCTCGAATACCCACTAATTTCGTATCAAACTATATATATTTATGTAGAAATTAAGAAGAATCGTATAAAATTTAAAGGCGAGGATCCATGAAATAAATGGTTTGGTTGGTCTGATGGTTATAGGTGGGTGCTCAAGGTCACTTCTTTGTTGTATGCCACACATCGATTCCCCCTAGGGACATTACTTTTGGTTTAAAATTCAACTCTTCTCGTTCTACTTATTTATTTTGCTGATTATTTATTTTTTCTCTCTATGCTGATTGTGTTTTGGAAAAACTACTTAACTAGACATACTTTAGTACTATGTACACTTAATTTACCTCTAGTTTAAAAAATCGCACAATACCACATTTAATATTTATACCATATATTTTAACATATTTAATCAGATATACAAATTCCTTAAATATGATATTGAATAATTAACTTAAAATTTAAAATCCTTAATTAATGATAAATTATCAATTCAAATTCTTTTCCCTCACCTCAATTTATCCTTCCCCTCCCCCAATTCCATTACCTATTGTATCTCTCACCCTCACCCCCACCATCTTCAAACATCTCCATTATCTTCCTTTCTTCCTTAATCCTCTCAATACTTATTTACATGTCCCAAATTCAAAACTAAATCTTGATAATCACAAGTATACAGAGAGGTTAATTACTTTTTTTTCCCATTATTCTAATGTATCTTCGTTTTACGTCCAATTCATATATTTGAGATAGAGTTCATATTTCTCTAAAGTTCGATTGTATAAACTTTTACAAATTAGGCTCCGAGATACATCTATCATTAATGGCGAGACACATGTATCCAACAATTTTTAAAGTCGAGATACCTACAACTAGATCATTGTACGTTGCATTATCTCTCAAAAGCATTCCACCAATTCTGTAATTTTGGTATTCAGTTTCTTAAATCCATGAACCCGAATGCCTCAACAATATTGTGATATTGACTATTTGAAAATAAAAACTCAAAACTTTCAAATACAAAGAAAGGAACTGATGAAGAAGATGAAGAGTACAATAACAAAATTACTTGGGTTATGATTTCGTTATTTTAGAAAAACTTGTTAAAGTTGATACTCAAGAATCATGTAAATATGTTGGGTTGTTAATTAGTCAGCAAGTAATCCTTCAATTAAGGAAATAAGTTACACCCTCTTTAATTCAAATTACCAAATCATGTATCTCGGCTTTAAAAAATTATTGGATACATGTATCTCACCATTAATAATACATATATCTCGAGACCAAAATATGGTATAAAAAGTAATATTACAAACTATCGAGAATCCTAATAATTAAGATCTAAAGTAGTGAAATTTATGTAAGATGCCCCTTTTTTTTCCCTTTGAGAAAATGGTCTAAACCCCCCCCCCCCCCCCCCCATACCTGAAATCCCAACTACACACTCCAACTTTACGGGTGTCCTATTACCCACATGAACTTTATAATTCTCTATTTTATACACACCTAAGTGCTGACCTGTCATGGGAGGTGTTCTCACCTTCTCTAGGCGCGTTAGAAGGTGAATTTTGACGAAAATTTCCGAGAAAATAGTCATCTTCCCCAATTAATCAATGAAAGGATTCAATCTCAATTGACCTCCATTAATGGCATTGCTAGTGCTTTCGTTTGTTCTCCCTCTTTTGCTGCTCGACCATCAGCCACCACTGTCGCCGCCTCCGGCGAAATCCAAACCACCAACAAAGCCTTGTTCTCCTCTTCCCCTCTCCTCTTATCTCTCTCCCATTCCGAGACAACCACCATAAATACCTACCTCTGTTCTCACAACAAGATCGACAACAACAACAACAACAAAACCTTGCGGCTGCACTACTCCAACCAGCGAGCTCCGGTGAAGCAAGCAAAATAGATCCTTTTAGATTATTTTTCAATGTTCTCCGACAAGCAAAACTCGAATATTGCTTGACAAGCTCCCACTATCAATATTCATCTTTGTTCCTCACAATTCCATAGGAATTTGAAAGAATTTGGGGGGAAAGAAATTACCTTAAAGATTTTAAGAAATTGGGAGTGTATAGGAAAAAGTGGAAAGGAATTATAAAAAATTGAAAATAAAAATAAATTAATTAGAATTTTCAACCTGTAAAAACGCGTGAAGTTCACAGGCCAACACAGATCTGGTTATGGCTTTTTAGGGGTGTAATTATTACAGTTTTAAAACAATTCAGGTGGGTGATAGGACTCCCGTAAAGTTGGAGTGTGTAGTTGGGATTTTGGGTATAGGTTGGGAGGGTTTTAGACCATTTTCTCTTTTCCCTTTCACAAATTGTCTTTTGCTGAATTTTCCTAAACAAAATTTTATAGAAAAAAATGTTATCTTTCTTCTTTTTTTTAATCCAAAATAATTTTTATTGTAGTTTTTTATTGATTTTTTTCGCTATCATATTTAAATATGATTGTCTTTTTTATGACAAGTGTTAAATTTGTACACTTATATTTTGTGATTGGTAGCTAAATGAGCAGCCACAACATTAAAATCGTGGATCCGCCACTGATTGCATATACATATAATTTGAAAATGTATACATCCAAGTACTACAGAGTCATGCCTCAATCAAGTTGATGTTTCACATTAAATAAGAATCAAACATTTCTTCTACTAGAATACAAAAGTGAATTTGCATGTGTTGAAATCAATGTTGTTGGTGGAGATTCTTCAAAATCAGAATTATTATTTCAATTCAAGAAAACATTTCCTTGTATATACATACAAATAAGGAAATCAGGCTATTGACTAGCTCAAAAAGTTGTCTTTTGCCC